GTTCAATCGAGGTCGGTGCGTCGGGGCTCTCCTGATGAAACCCGATAGAACACCTTTGGGATGAATTAGAGCCGAGACTGAGAGCCAGGCCTTCTCGACCAACATCAGTGTGTGACCTCACCAATGCGCTTTTGGAAGAATGGTCAAAAATTCCTATAAACACTCTCCTCAACCTTGTGGACAGTCTTCCCAGAAGAGTTGAAGCTGTAATAGCTGCAAAAGGTGGACCGACGTCATACTGAACTCTGGGTTAGGAATGGGATGGCACTTCAGTTCATAGTATGAGTCAAGGCAGGTGAGCGAATACTTTTGGTAATATAGTGTATATAAAGGGTGTGAGGTTCAGCAAACTACATTTCCAGAAAGAGGGATATCGAAGTTTGTCACGACGTTGTTACGAGTTGAATGGACCCAATGTCTGATCAGCCAAAACCTGTGTCGGAAGGCCAAGATAGCAAGACAATGATGATGCAGACCACGGTTCAGGCAAACACTTTGAAATGTTGATGAGTACGTTGCAACAGTTGCAGTCCATAAGTGCCTGGGATTAGAGGAAAGTGCCCATGAGTGTAAAAATAAAAAGTTTTGTGACCCTCAGCTTTGCAGGTGCTTAGAAGCCATGGAAATGCTTGGCTTTGTAGATGACTGGTGAACCTCTGCTCGGAGATCCTCAGCTCGTTCACTGACTGCTTCTAAAAAAAAACCTACAGAACTTACTTGGGTGACCAGGTATGTGTGCTTTTGTGTAAATTCTAGTGACAACACAAAAATTATAATTAAAATAGTGTCTCTGTGGCTCTGATATCAAGTGTTTGTGTAATGTTTTTCTTCATTTTTTTAAACTATAGTAGGACAGTGTTCTCCCCCTGTGGTGACATAGAAGTGGATTTTTAAACACCCCACACATGCACACACACAAACACACACACTCATTTGAAATAAAGCTCTGTGATATCAAGTAGTGATGGGTAGATGAGGTGTAATGAATCGTTTCGACATATTGCCAAACTGTATTGATACTGTGTCGATACTGTGTCACTGAATACTGACACCTGCTGGACATTAAAAATTCCTACAGGCAACCTAGTTGACAGACTCAACTGACACTAATTTGATGACCTAGTATATACAATAATATAATTGAAGTCATTGTATTTGTCAGCAAACTTTCTCTGCTAGATAGGACTGTAAAAAATGCTGTTAGTTCATACCCCAGTTTCCTAACACAAAGAATTCAAATAAAGATTAAACAAAGATCTGATCAAATAAAGAATCAAACACCAGCTCTCAAGTTTTAAAAGTTTTAGTTGTTTTAAGCAAGGAGTGCAGAACAATGGTTACATTCAGAACTGCACTGAGGTTGCTCCTCAGTGCTCAAAGCTTAAATACATTTTCTTTTTACACACACATCAATGGTCAGAACCTTAACCCTTTACAGCCATGTGGTGTTCACGCGCCACTTCTGAGCACTGATTGGCAAAGGCTGCTTCAAACAAAGATTCTCCACCAATAGAAGACATGTACATGTGCTGAGCTATTCTGCTCAGTAACTCAGGTTAGATCAAAGAAATGCACTTTGGATTATTTTCCTTTTTGATGTTCTGTTTTCCCCATTATTTGGGCAGAGAAACTGGTTCAGGCCAATTCTGTGACCTGTCTCTATCTCCAAGCGTAACAGTCAGTGCCATCAGTACCATACACTATCCTGTTATGTAAACCATCAGCATGTACACCTTTCTTCAGTACTTCTCCTTTTAGTACAGCATTTAAAAACAGTATAAATTGATATGGAAACTTAATATAATGAATATATTGTAAAGATTAAATAAATGTATTTATATCTTAACAGTATTTTATATTGTATTATTCCATATCTTCATTTAAAATTTTAATTTAATTTAAATACTTAATTAAATGTTTAAATTTTAATTTAATTATTTTTTAAATATCTATTATTTTTTGATACAGTCAATAAATAATGTGAACATGTATCATAATAAAAAAAAACAGCCTAAGTGAACGTGTTGTGAATGAGGATGCTTGTGGACTGGGATTTAAAAGATGATCTCTGAAAGTGACCAATGTCTGAAACGAATAAACAATCCCCATGCAAATAAACTGTACACATTTAATAATATATCTTTTGAATAAAACAATAAACACACGTAACAAACATAAACAACATAATATACATTCTTAAACTTGGTTTAAACATTTCATATAAAATTTCAAATGAATTTCAACCTTTTCACATACTTGCATGAAATGCTTGGCTCAATGTTTTTAACTGGGTTACTTTTTTCTTCTTTTTATTCTTGAAATCTGAACTGATATTCAGCAACAAAAGATGATCTCTGAAAGTGACCAACGTCATGCACACAACAACAAATGTAGCACAGGCACACACACAACACATACAAAGCAAAGGCGACAACGGGAGGGATGTGTTAGCAGTCACCAGGTCACCTTGACCCAAAGGGCAACACGAGGGTTAAGGAAGCGGACTTGGGTCCAGAAGGCTTCAAGTTTGAGTCCACCAGCTACCAAGTTGCAAAGGCTTCAAACTTCTCCTGCGTCTCTGCATCAAAAACGGTCTTTGGAGCTGTATGGTCAGCGTGGTACTTGGTGGTATTTGTTCAAATACGAGACGGGGGATCTACGTCTCCATCAGCGGGGATCAGTGTGTGTGACATCGGGGGGGCAGAGTTGATGCAGTATTCCAACGACTGGGTGTGTGTTACAACTGTTCAACCATAAAAATATTGGCAAAAAAGAAGCAGATTCTGCATAAAAGCAAAAGCTGACTTATTTTCCCAGCGTTAAAGAGCCCTGTGAACGTAAAAAGACATTTGGTGCTATTTGGCTGGCAAGTTACAA